AAAGAGCTCTGGCAAGAAGTTGGGAGCTGTCCTGCACATATTGCAGGATACCCCCAGGGATGCCATGAGGTCCCTGCAACCTGGCACAAAGGGGCCCTACAGAAAGGAGGAAAGCCCTATTCTGATGGTGGATAAGACTGCAGGCCCCACATTCCCAGGCCTCAAAGAGCAACCCTGTTCTCAAGTCTTCCATGATGATGTCCCTCTAACGGCCACGAGCCACACCCGCTCAAGGCCGCTATTGACACAGTTCCGACGCCACCAGGCCGGGTAGTGAGGCTGGCGGCTCCCCGCGAATCAAGTTCCACACATACTTCTGGGTTTCAGTCAGCCTGCTCTGGGCACTCGGGCAGCCAGCCCAAGCCAGTCCTGGGAGCAGAAGGGGATGGCAGGGCCAAAGAGGCCAAGGGCTGGGTTTGGGGCAACATTCCAGTGGGCTAGGACCCCTAGGCCAGCTGCCCCCTTGTAGGCAGAAGCAGGATCGGGGTAAAGAAGCCCAGAGAGCTAGGCAGACCCTTGGGAGCTTCCTCTGTCTCTCCTAGTCTGACCCTCACAGCTGGTACTGGAGCAGGGAGGGGACAAGAGGGCAGGGCTGGGAGCCACTCCTTGAGGCCCCCAGAGGTCTGAGGGTCCAGGACTCACGTCTGGGCTCTAGTGAATCTCCTCTGATTCATCACCCTGATCTTTCCACATCTGTGCAGCCTCTTTTTTCTTTCCCTCCTCCCCCCTTCCTTCCTCTCTCTTCCCCTCCCCTCTCAGGCTGTCACCCTAAAATTGGGCAGCCCTGAGGGCTCTGCAGACCTGCCTCAGCCTCCAGCTCCAGGGAACAGCCAGGGAACCCAGGAATGGCTCTGCAGCAGCAGGCAGGGCCGACGCTCCCACTCACACCACTGACCTGGCCCCCTGGAAGCCCCAGGGATTCTTGAACAGCCTATGTATACTCAAGGACCATTTAATAAGAGAAATTAATTCACTAAGCAACTACAAATGACCACCCTGGAATCCAGGTCCTCAGGTATCTCCATGAGGCCCCTTGGACACCAAGGCACAGCCACCCTGTTCCTCAGTTTCCAACAGTTCTTGCCTAGGTCGTCCCTGTGCTACCTGGGCCATAGTTTGATTTACAGAATCAATCCCTGGTAACGACTCTGTGTGTGTGTGTGTGTGTGTGTGTGTGTGTGTGTTCTCTTAGGGATGTGCAGGTGTGTGTGTCAGATACTGGGGGCTGACTAAACCCTGAGGTAAATCCCATTCTCAGTCTCTCTCTCTCTCTCTCTCTCTCTCTCTCTCTCTCTCTCTCTCTCCTCCTTTCTCTCTCTCTCTCCCCTCTTTCCCCTCCCCTCCCCCTCTCTCTTTTCCTTTCTGAGATACAGCCACCTTAATTTCTTCAGTTTCACAAGCTGTGCTCAAGCTTAGGATTCTCCTGCCTCAGCCTCCCAGGGTGGTGGGATTGAGCTATATGCCGCCATATTTGGCATCACTGACAAGTTTAGCAAAATCTCCTGACTGCTGGCCACAAGCTGGCAGAACAGTAGGTGGCATGGTCAGGGGAGCTTCATCTGCCTTTAGACCTTGGCTCTTCCTGCAGTATGTGAGCATCTAAGTCACTGGGCAAATTCCTTCATTGCCTTTCCTCGGGTGGAGGCCAGGACCATACTAGGAACAACAGGAGCTTGATACACTCAACAGATACATTTTCTGAGCACCCCCGCCCCCCTCAGGCGCTGAAGTGAAGGTGAACAAAGACACATCTTGTGCCTCTGGAGTTTAAGCTGGACAGAGGACACAGATGAGTGGACAAATATATATCAGAAGGTGACAAGAAGCACAAACAGTGGGGGTGGGGCTTAGCTTGGGGTAGAGCACATGATCAGCATGCATTAGACCCTGGGTTCAATCTCCAGTATTGGCAAAGAAAAAAAAGGGGGAGGGGGGCCTGGGAGCGGCGGGGAGGGGGGCACACACATGATGAGCCAAGACCCGTGAAGGAACAAAGACAGAGGGGCATGTGGATTTAGGGAGAACTCCAGGCAGAGGGATCAGCAGATCCAAGGCCTTGAGTTAGAAGCATGCTTAGCAGGTCCAAGAAACAAAAGACCAGAGCAGCAGGAGGAGAGCAAGAGGGAAAGCTCTCAGGAGGTTAGACCAGAGGGCGTGGGGAGGCCGGCCTCTCATAGGCCTTTGGTCTACATGAAGCCAGGCACCTGGACCTGATTCTCCGCAATAAGGGAATGAAGGGAGTAGAGAGCAATGGAGTAAGGTATGGACTCAGGGATTTAGAACCATTCGGAGCATTCTGTCATCATCTTTCCTGGTGTCCCAACATCCTGCACCACTACTGCCCTCATTCATTTCCTAAGCCCTGAACCCTGTCACCTCCTGCCACCTTCCTTCTACCATCTCCCCGGTGGGGCCTCGGGCCCACAGATCCTAACTTGTCTACACTCAGCCTAAGAACAGGCCTGGGCCAAGCCAGGTGGGGCCTTGAAGCCTCCCCGGATGCCGGGCGCTTACCCTAAGAGAAATGTGGGGGGGACAGTTCTGCTCCCCTTCCCGCCCCTGCTGTACTTTGTGGGCAGACTCACAGCTGCTCTTCTGGAGGAACCCCCATGGCACTCTCAATCCTGTCTGTCCCCACTGCAGTTTAGCGCAGTCGGGGCAGCCTGGGGGGACAGGGCAGCCAGTTGTGTGGAGGGGAGGGCTGAGGTCATGCCAGGAAGAGGGGAGGCTCCAGCAGTCTCCCCTGCAAAGGAAATCCAGCTGAGGCAGGAAACAGGTATCTCAGTCACTTCCCTCAGCCTAGAAAATGCTGCAATCACTATCATGAGCCCCCTAAGACTCCTGTCTCCTGCAGGGTTTGCTCCGGGGAAAGGAAGGGCCAAGGCTAGAGCAGGAAGAAAAGGGTCAGTCAGCCAGGACAGGTCCTGATCCAGGCCACCCCACTCCTCAGAACAGAAATTACTCCCACACATAATCACAGACCACTGTCCTGCCTTCCCATCTCCTGCTCCCAGTGAGGCCTAGCTCCCTGCTTCCTACCATCTCCCACCATTCCTACCTTGTGGACACAAATTGAAGGGCACAAGAGGTCAAGGGCCAGGGGCAAGGAGGAGCCCAATGCTTGCTAAAACAGCTGACTAGGAAGTTGATTTCACTTAAGACTCAGTAAACGTCTCACACCCATTTTATAGATGTGTAAACTAAGGCTCCAAGAGATTTGCTGTGGATCATGCAGCTAGCAATTCCAACTTGGTCTGTAAGGCTCTGAAGGCCAAACCCTTTCCAGCCTCCACCAACAGCTTGGTGCAACAATGAAGACCTCATGCAGCTGCTTCAGAGGGTCCACAGTCCCCCAGATGCAAAGGATTGTGGCCTACATGTCTGAGTTCTGGGAAGACACAGATAGGCCTGTCCTATCCTTCATGACACAAGTCCAGCCCTACCACATGCCAGTACACACTGGTGCACTGTAGGTGCCAGGCAAATAGCTGTCCAATGAATGAACCTCTGGTCTCCCAATGGCTGCCACAGCACTTTACTCAATGAAGGTCCACTGAATGAACAAGTGAATGAGAAGATCAGTACAGTCCGGGAATTTCTGTGGAATTCTTCAGGCACACAGCAAACAGCTCCACCCACCACCCCTGCCTTTGTGCAGCCTAAGCATGGAGGAGCCCTTGATCAAGGGGGCAGAGCGCTGAAGGTCAGGAGACTGCTGGTCAGGGAAGACATTCCAGGTCTAGGTTAGTGCCTTGGAGAAAGCAAATTTGTGTGCCTTTAGCTGCAAGTGTAGGTCAATGAGAAGCAACTGCAGGGCCTAGAAGCTGCCTAGACAGGACAGGGAGAAGAGAAGTGCTGGGAGGGTGGAGCAAGAGCAGTGTGGGGTCGGATCAGAGTGGGGGGGGGTTAAGAGTGACTCAGGAGGGCAGAGGTGAGTGAGGGCCAACAAGGTAAGGGCTGGGACTCAGTCACTGGGTAAACACTAGTCCAGTTGGAAAAGTCATTCTTTTGACTCTGAGGACAAGAGGCAGGGATGATGACTGTCTAGGAGCACCTCAGAGAGTGTGTGGGTCTCTCTGTGGCTCACCGCCACAGGCCCAGTTAGGCCCCACCCACATCTGCCACCAGCTCCCTCCCCTCTGACCCACCTCAAGTTGGGGCAGGTCCTGGTGTAGGGGGGGGTCGTCTCTCCTGGCCAAGTGCCTTCCAGGCCTGAGGATTCATGACTCAAGAATCCTCTTTTCCTCAGGATGGGTCCATCTAAACTCAGAAGGGCTAGACTACAAGGGAGCTGCCCCTGTACCTTGGGGGCCTAGGAAGAGGAAAACTGGAGAAACTTGGAGTGGTCCCACCCTGCTTCTTCCATCCCGGGGCTGTGCATTTTAAAGCCAGGCGTTTTGAGATCCTTTTACCCACGTGGAACTGCTTTCCCGAGGCCACACAGTCACTCAGTGAAGGGCAGGGATTGAATCAATTCCTGGGATATATGACTCCAGGGCCTAGGGTGTTCACCCAAGCCTTAAGTTTTGTTCCAAAAGTTCTTTACTTGTGCCTTCCTAGTTACAAGGCGCCCCAGGGGGACAGACATCACGGTACAGTTCCACTGTCAGGGTCCGCATTACAGCTGAGTGCCCCTCTGCCAAGTTGGCACAGAAAGGGCTCTCTCGTCCTGCCAAGTTCCCACCCTGCTCGAAGTTTCTCCACTGGTCCCCATGAACGGCAGGCCGGGCCATGCCCAGCGCAACTTAGAGCCTCCCGCAACGTGGCCATGGGACCCACAGGCGTCCACGGGGGCTGGCCCCAATCCCGACCCCACTTAGGTCCTTCGGGGCAGTCCCATTCCGTAGGGTGGCGCTCACTGGTACCAGTCCCGGGTGTTCAGCCCGGACCGCCGGCCCGGGCCACAGTTCCAGCCAAACAGCCTCCAAACCCCCCCCCCCCCCCCCCCGCCAACTTGGTGAGCGCCCCTCACCCCTCGCCCCTCCGTCCCACACACTCACCGCGAGCAGCCGCCCGTGCAACAGGAGCGCCAGCACCAGCGCGCCTGTCGCCCGCCGTCCCATGGCCCAGCCTCACTCGCTGGCCTGCTCGGCGCCGCCCGCAGCCACCCGCTCGCTGTCCTGCGGAGTCCTCGGGACAGTGCGGCCCGCTCCCACCGCCCCCGCCCCCGCTCCCGCCCCCGCCCCGCCCCGCCCCTCGGGCTGGGGCCACGCCCCCGGCCAGGGTCTCGGCTCCGCCCCTGACCTCCAGACCACGCCCCCACCCCGCCCCCGCCATTCAGGCCCGGCCTCCGAGCAGCGCTCTAGGCTCGCCCCAGCCGCCGCCGCGCAGCCTACTGGGCCTTTGTCTGGACCCCCAGCCCCCTTCCGCGGCCGCGGCCCTGCCGGCTCCCAGCCAAACGCGGCCTGGAGTGTGGGACGGGACCGAGCCGCGCGCCGGGTCCGCACACTCAGGACTCTCCGCTTGTCGTGCCCCCTGCGGAGCAGTCAGGTTGCACACGCCCGTGCACACTCCGTACACGCGACTCCACGCGTCCTCGGCTTTCGAGGAACCACGGACCTCCTGCCCCTCTCGCGTGCTCACACACAGCTCTGACTTACAAGGACACGTTCACACTGCGTGTGGGACAGTCCTCCCAGAACACTTTTGTGCGCTGGTGCCACGGTGACACACACAGTCTTCGCACGCATGCATTCGCAAACCCAGCCTTCACGTTTCCATACCGACTCTGTTCCTACACCCAGCAGGCCGCGAAGCATTCACACGTGTTTCCACGCATCCCACACTAACCCACCACCATAGTTTCTCCCACAAGCCTCAGCCTCTACTTTTACAGCGTCTCACCACCCAGAGTGCTTCAACGTGGACACTGGATACTGTCCTGAGTCACTTTCCCAGCCTGGAACCATCTCCCACCTGAACCACTCAGGTCAACTTTGATTTACACAAGTCGCAACCCCAGGGCCAAAGAAACACAGATGCTGCCACATTAAATCGCCCACAGGCAGCCACACAGCCAGGGGACTTCTTCAGGGCCCTGTCCTTGTCCCCTCCTCTGCCTGAATATTTGCAGACAGCCCCAGGCTGAGGGGTGGAGAGAAAACGTGTGTGTGTGTGTGTGTGTGTGTGTGTAATGCTTTGAGGATAACCTTTTGAGTAATGATGGAGAGAAGAGAATAAAAGCCCAAGTTTCCATTGTTTCTTGCTGGTTGCTAGGTTCCAGAGACTCCTGGCGAATGAGGTGTGCTGTGGACAGAAGGAAATGCCCGGCTAGCTGGATGGCACCAGGCCCGCTCCGCTGGCTCGGGAAGGTATGTTCCCTGTGATAGGAGCCTACAGGCACCACCCAGGCCATCCAGTGACCTGGGGAAAACAGCGCAGGGCTGGGGCCTCCCATCCAGGTCCACAGGGATTATAAAAAACACTATATCCTGATCTTCATCCCACATAGATACTCTGCTCCAGAACCTAGGATCCCTCTCTGCCCTATGGGCACATTCCTAAGGGCCCAACAGGGAGCCTGGAGGAGTAGAAATCACATCCAGAGTGGCTGGGCCAACTCGATGGCCCCACCCAGACTCCAGCACTGCACCGAATAAGGTCTGTGCCTGCTCCAGACAGAGAGACCAAGAAGGGATGCCCAATTTGGCCTCCCAGGGACCATAATCTCACGGAGGAGCCTCTGGGGGAGGAGAAAGACTCTACCCTTCACGTTGTTCTCTGACTGATGGGAATCCTGTCGCACCCTTTGGCTTTGCAGTGCTGGGCAAATCATTCAACCTCTATCTCTCAGAATGAGACTATCGCTGACTCCCCTCCCAGTGTTATCATGAGGATTAACGCGAAGTAATGTTTTTCTTAAGCTTCAGACAGAGGTAAGTGCTGAATAGGTGCTAGACATTCTCTTATTATGGCCCAGCAGCCACTGCACAGATCTGTGGCTCCCAATCTGATGGTGGGGCCTCACCCCTGCCCCCGCCCCAGGGACCTCCAGGCCTTCCTTAAAGAGCAGCTTCATGAACCCCTCTATCTGTGGAGGAAGGCTTCAGCATTGACTTCAGAGCTGGCAGGTGGCCAGGCCAGTGGCAGGGTCTTTCTGAGGCTCAGCCTATATAAGGAGGGCCAGTATCTGGGACAAACCCCACTTCATGAGCTGCCTCCATGTCTGTTCCCCGCCTCAGGTCCTTTAAGTCCCAGAGATTGGGACTTGCGTGGTTTGCCTGTGAGCAAAGGCAAGAGGGGAACAAGCAGCCCTTTGTAGATGTTTGGTTACAACTAACCCAGAGCTGTACGTCCTCCTTCCTAAAAGAGTTTGTGGAAAGACATGGTAACACTGGCTGGGGTGTGCAGGGGGCAGGATGTCACAGAGAGCAGGCAGATATGGCCCAGAGCAGTGCCCTGTGTGAGGCCAGCCGACCTCCACTTACTCTCCTTGCTGAGTACTAGCCGGCTGTGTCCATCTGGTTAGACTGCCTTCTCAGGCTGCTCTGTCTAGGGCCTGGCTGTCACTTCTTAGGAAGACAGGAGGGCCAGAGCCCTCTTGGCCTTGCTGAATCTTAAAGGTACCTGTAATCACCTGCTAGTATTCATCGTTCAGGGTACTGTCACATTCTTGGGGACAGAAGTAACTCTCATCTTGCACAGGGTTCCTTAGGAAGGAGGGACTAGGAAGGTTTGGAGCAGGAGGAACAACCACAGAACCTGACTTCTGAGAAAGCTGGAGCTTTTCAAACCAGCAGGCAGTTTGTGGTTCTCCTGTCTGCCACTCCAAACTTCAAAGAACACAGCTTTTTCTGGCTCCACTCCCAGCTCCAAACTTTTTTCCTCCCTTGGAGCTTCTTCCTCATTTTACATTCCTTTGGTCATTCATTCACTTTGAGCAGCAGTAGACAGTTGAGCAGGTTGTACACTGAACAAGAATATGCAACTAGATGGGTGGGTAAGTGGTGTAATATGTCCTGTTTGGGGGCAACATCTGCCTGGAGAGGTTTCCATTTGATAGTATCAGCAAAAGCAGGGTGTGGTGATGCACACCTATAAGCCCAGCACTTGGGGAAACTGAGACAGGAAGAACACAAGTTCAAGCCCAGCTGGGTAACTTAAGAAACTTAGTGAGAATCTGTCTCAAAAATTAAAGTATACACAATGTACTAACCATTGTTACTCTCCTAAAATCTTGTTTTGAGATTTTGTACCATTGTTTTTTTTTCTTTAAAATAAAATAACTGATGTAAAAAAAATAATAAAATAAAAAAGTAAAAAATAGAATAAAAAAAATTAAAGTATAGATAAATAAACACAAATAAAAGGCTTAGGAAGTAGCTCAGAGCAAAAATCCTGGGTTCAATCCCCAATACCAAGACTCTCACACTTGGAAAGGGGAACTCCAGTCAAAGAAGTTCGGGCACCCTGCACTCCGGTTAGTGCGCAGAAGTGTTCATGTCCCTTCCTCTCTCGGCATAGGCTCACGTCCTATTTCACTGTGTTCGCATCCTCGAACACGCCTAAGTTAACGTCTTGCTTTTCTCACTGGACCCTTCTAAGTTTCAGTAAGAGCAGGCCTGCTTAGAAATGACTCTGTGGGCCACTGCCAGTCCCCAAACTGTTTATGAGCAGTTAATGATAAGGAGCCTGCTTCAGAGTGTAAATCAGCTGGGTCACAGAGTGTGCTGTTTGGCCCGGCTGACATTTTTTTCCCCTAGAATTCATCTTCCACACTAGAAGCAGGGCACAGATTTACACTTGGGCGTAAACTCTTGTGGGTGGCAACTGTTAGCAATGTGTGCACCAGCAACTCTGTGCAGTGCCTGGGCACATCATATTTCTTGTGAGTATTTGGTAGTGTCTTCTCAACGCACCACAGTTAATTAACCCTGTCCTGTTGTTGGACATTTGGGCCATTTCCCGGTTTTTGTTATGAACACAGCAAGGCTGGGCACACAGCGCTTGTTTACTTTGGTCACTCCCTCAGGCTTTAAGGATCTCAAATCTGAGGCTAGGGAAGCCACAGGACCTCTGCAGGGGCACAGTGGGAGGGAGAGGCCTGCTGACCCGCAGGTCCCCTGTTCCTTCCTCTGGCCAGGCTGCTTTTCCTACAGAGCAGATTTTCCATCTCTTTCATGATTTTCTTTACCGGGCCACAAGCTTTTTGCTGTTGTCTTTAGGAGCCGGAGACAGAAATCCTTCTGGAATGTCCTGTGCCTTCTCCCTCCAAGTTCCCGGCTTTGTTCAATTGTTCACCAGAAATTCCTACCCTGCTGGGAGGGGCTCAGGAGACACTTGAAGTTTGCCCAAAAATGGTGGGACCGAGGGGCTGGGGATGTAGCTCCAGGGCATGGTGCCTGCCTGGCAAGCCTGAGGTCATTAGTTCAATTCCTGATACCAAGAAAAAAATAAATTAAAAAGGGGTGGAGCCTTTTGGGCACAGGGCAAGGCCTCTGGCCATCTCAGCTCCAAAGAGGCAGTGCAGGTGCAGTCCAGGGGGAGCGGGCGCATGCTTCCCATGTGGGGCCCGTGGCAGCAGGGGTGTGTAGGTGGAAAGGCAGTAGGGGGTGACCCTGGGCTGGGGAATGGGATGAAGGATGGGTGGGCAAAAGCTCAGAGGGTCAAGTTCAGAGAGTAAGGAAGGCTAGGGTGGGACAAGCATCAGGCGCAGGCTGTGTCTTTCAGGCAGGCATCACTGTGTGTAGGATCAAGCAGTGTAGCTCAGTGGCAGAGCCCTTGCCTTGTGTGTGAGGCCACAACTTTGAACAAACAAAACTACTTACTTTCTAGAATCCTAGGACAGTGATACTAAATTGCCTGTTTGAAAAGTACCACAGTGGGGTCAGGGATGTAACTCAGTGGCATAAGCACCTGCCTTTCAAGTACAACGTTCTGAGTTCAATCTCCGGCACAAAAAAAAAAAAAAGGATCACAGTGGATTTCTTTAAAAAAAAAAAGAAAAAAAAACCTTGAGAAGGAATTTTTTTTTTTGGGGGGGGGGCTGGCTAAGGCTACCTTAAGGGTGGATCTGGTGCAGCATGTGGACCTGGGGATCAAACCGTGGTCCCCTGCACCTGAGTGAGTTTGCCAAAGCAGGCGCTTTAAACAACTGAGCTAACCTGCAAGACCCCTACAGTGGATTTCTTTTTTTTTTTTTTTTTTTTGGCAGAACCAGGGATTGAACTCAAGCCCTTACACTTGTCAGGGAAGTGCTTATTCCACTGAGCCATCTCCTCAGCCCTGGATGTCAATACATTAAAATAATGTCAGTGTCATGCCTTGATACCAAATGATACAGGTTTGCTGGAGTGGACAGCTGAGCCCATAAGTGGCTTTTGAGGAGATTTCTCCCTTTGTTTATTACTTGCTAGAAAGCATCCATTCCTGGGTTACTTTCCCGGCTTAGGGCACTGGTATGAGGGGCAGCCCAAACCTCCAGGTCAAACACTTTCCTTACTTTGTTGAATTTACTGCCTATTTTGGAAGCCAAGGTTTACCCCTATTTCTCTTGGAATCAATTCAATAAATATTAAGAAAGATGTTGCATTTTAGATGGTCGAGAAGGTGTGAAGAACACAGTGGTTCCTCGATCAGGCTGGCACTTGCTGAGAGGCAGAGCCCAGTTCTGCTACTTACCAACTGCAGAAATTTGAGCGAGTCACTGTCTCTCTGAGCCTCAGCTTTCCCCTGTCAAAATCGGGCTACTGAAACCTAGCCTGGTGAGGTGGAGAGAGTAGATCGCCTGTGCTTCCGCCTTTGCAGCAAGCCCGGCGCACTGCGTGAGTGCTTGGTGACCTACAATGTCCTCCTGCAGGTGTGAAGGACTTTCCTTGACCACCCCTGATCATGGGGACACCTAAGTCACTTCTGTACACAAAAGAGACAGCTGAACAGGCCGCCCCATTGTTCTGCAGCCAGCTTACTGCTTCCTGTTTACACAGGCCCTGCAGATGCACTGCCGGAGCTGTGGCGTGGGGACTTCCGATGGCCCCTGCAGGGCTGCGTGGAACAGAGGAACTTCTCTAACCACCAGGCTTATTTTCCTCTGGACTCAGGCTCAGTCATGTGGGAATGGGGAATGGATTGATGAGAAGTAATTGTCCTTCCCTGGCCAGAGTCTGGGTCAAGGGCAGAGATCCTGTTGTCCCTACAGATTGCAAGCCTGCCCCTTACCAATGGGCAAACTTCACAGTGCACCTACAAGGCACTGGGCCTTGTAATGACGTCTGTCATACCATGAGCCCCCACTGTGTATAACTGTGAAGGTTGTCCTTCTTCTTCTTCTTCTTCTTCTTCTTCTTCTTCTTCTTCTTCTTCTTCTTCTTCTTCTTCTTCTTTTGTATTTTAAGGAAGGGTCTACAAGGTATTCAGGATCTTACTACTAAATCGGACCTGTAGTGATCCGCCTGTTTACAGCCTCCCAAGAGCTGGGATCACGGGAGTGCACCACTATGCCCAGTCTCAATGCACCCGGGGGGCGGAGCCAGCACGGCAGGCCCTGGGATGGAACCCCTGGCCCCTGCACCTTCTTGCAGGTGCTTTAATCTGCTGAGCTATTTGGCTGGCCCTACGGTTGTCATTCTTGGTGCTCATTTGCAGGTAGTATCCTATAATGACAGTGCCAACCGTTTTTCAGGAGCCATTCTGTCCTGTGCACTTTATCAGAATCATTTGTTGCTGCCTCTCTGCTTCAGTCTCCTCATCTGAAAAATAGGGACAATAGTACTTTCCTTAAAGAACTGATTAGAGGATTAAATGAGTAAATGAATCCAAAGGACTTCAAACAAAGCCTGGCATGTAGCTAAGAGCTTGTAAATGTCACCTGGGATCTTTGATATTGTTAGCTATTGAAATATCCAAACTATGAAGCAGGTAATCAGCCTTAGAGTAATGCCAATTACTATAGCTGCATGCATGGTGGGTGCAAGACCCTATAACCACCGTGGACATAAAGACTAGCTCCTGTTGTGAGCAGGACTGAGTTAGCTGCCTCAAGAGCAGTGCCCTGGCCAAGTGGCTTCTACTCTATACTTGGAGAAGCTGGGCCTTTTCAGAAGCGAGCATCCCTAGCAGAGCAAGGAGAAGTCAGCTCTCATGCTGCAGAGCCAGGTTCCCACAGACCTGGAGTGGGAAGCGGGGGTTGAGTGGCTGGACAGAGGGCTCCAGGATTCTAAAGAGCTGCGTTGCTGTGTGTTTATCTGGGTGCAGGAATAGGTGAGGACCCATTGGACAGAGTCACAGGCTCCTCCCTGTGGAGGAGAGGGGTGCTAGGGGCTGAGGAGGGCGTGTGCTTTGTGCTCTGTTTGGCCCACCAATGAGCTCCCTTGGAATACGAATGTGGGAGAATTCAGTGACCAGGAGTTTGGTGTCTTCTCCCATCTGCTCATCGGGTGGTGATCCCATGGGGAATGCTCAAGGCTGTTGCCTTCTCTACTTGGCCATAGGGCCAGGCCACAGCAGGCCACTGTCTTCAAGTGCCAAAGAATTTTGCGGGCCCCCAGGTTCTGCTGTATCTCAAGGTCAGTCCCGTTCCACACTCTAAGATGCTACTGGCCTTCGTGTCATCAAGGAGACAGGAGGGCTCTACAACAGAGATCAGGTCTGAAGTTTGCAACCACTTGGAAATGGGCCCTGAGGGCTGAAATGCCTCTGCGCAGTCTGGGAAGTAGCTGCGGATCTAGGATCCAGGGGGACAAGATCTATCATCCAATTGGGGTGCTCTAAGCCTGGCTGGTGACAAGGGGAGACACAGAAACATCAGAGTCAAGGGGTCCCTTAGAAAACATTGGAGCTCTGCATGCAGTGCAGATCTTCAGAGTCCCTCCCACAGTAGGACTGTGGGCAAATTACTGCCCTGTGGGCTGCTCGGCACCTGAGTCCTTAATGTGCTGAGGGAACGTTCTCCAAGGCATCAATGACAAGAAATTCAAGATATAGGGAAAAAGGGCCGTGTGGTCCTGACCCACTCAGTCTTACCTGGTCCAGATGGAAGCCTTCTGGGCAGCAAGCTCCTGGGAAGGGCTATCCTCAGTCCTGCTGCCACCCTGGTTACCTGTTCAATGCCTGTCCCACTAGTTAGGGCTTCTTATGCCTACTGTAGGCCATGGTCACCAAAATTACAGCTTTCAAAGAATAAATATGAACCAAGCTCAGTAGTACACACTTGTTCCCAGCTACTTTAGAGATTGATGCAAAAGAATCATAAGTTTGAGGGTAACCTGGGTAACTTAGCAAGGCCCTCTCTCTTAAAAAAACAAGAAGGTTTTGAGAAAGCCTGGGGGTGTAGCTCAGTGATAGAGCACCCGCCTAGCATGAAATTCAATTGGGTTCAATTCCCAGTTCTAAATTACAAAATAACGAATATGTGTAAAGCCCTTAGAAGCTGCTGCCATATGTGTGTCATTATTACTATTGTTACCCATTTCTGAGACCTGTGGGCTTCACACCCAGCCTGCAAGTTTTTAATTGGTTGCTGACAAAGATCAGATCCCAAAGCCAGGTGTGGTGGTACATATGCACATCTTGAGTAGTCCTAGCTACTCACAAGGCTGAAGCAGGAGGATGCTTGGATCCAGGAGTTCAAGGCCAGCCCGGAACCCTCCTCCCTACCCCCTGCCTTGAGAGCCCTAGCCTTCCTTGAGGAGGCAATGACTCATTGGAGAGCCAAGTAGTGACCACGTAGTCTGTGTTCACCTGGCCAGACTCTCCACCACTCTCTGCTGCCACCAGCCCAGTTCGCTCATTAACCTTTGTCCCCAGAGGCCCTTGAGATCTTTCTTTTTAAATTTTTTAATTAATTAATTAATTTGATACAGGGTCTCGCTATGCAGTTCAGACTCATAGTGATCCTCCTGTCTCGGCCTCCCCAGTGCTGGGATTACAGGCATATGCCGCCATGCCAGGTTTTGGTGGTTGGCTCACCATGCCCAGGGGCCAGCATGCAGTACTGGGGATCTAACCCAGGTCCTTGAGCTTGCCAGGCAGGTACTTAGACTGCTGAGCTATCTCCCCAGCCATTCCTTGAGGTTTTTCTTTGTTTTGTTTTTGAGGCAAGATCTTGCTATATAGCTCAGTCTGGCCTCAGACTCACTATGTAACCCAGGCTGGCTTTGAACTCACAGCAACCCTCCTACCTCAGCCTCTTATGTGCTGGGATTACAGGAGTACGCCATGGTGACCTTTGAGTTTGTAACCCACAATCAAAATGGTTATTTTCCCCAGCAGAGCCTTGAAAGGAGTATTTTGCCACAATTTATTTCCTACAACTGCAGCCTGATAGACGTGTCCACTGTACAATTGGTGTCAAGGTCACCACCAGGTGGAGGGTTTGGAATTGGGCTCTGGGGCATTCCAGCCTGAGCGGATGGTTTCCCAGACCTTGGGCAGATGACTTAAGAACCCACTGCCAAACAAAGGGAGCTCGGGCAGCTTGGTGCCCGACCTCGGAGGGGTGAAGCTCTGGCTCTGAGGTGGATGCTGGTCGCTCATGCTGGTGGAGCCGGCCAGGCACTGCAGGGCTTCGGCAGCCCCCAGGGAAGGCACCACACAGGTGCTGGCGGTGGAGCTGCCAGAGGCGGCCATGCTGCTACTGGGGCTGGAGTAACCGCGGGACAAGGGTTCCAGGTTGTCCTGGTAGAGAGCATTAGCAGCTCGTTCCAGGTAGTTGACTGCAAGCCTGGGCAGGCTCAGCGTTTGGGAGCAGTTGTAGAAGGCATTGGTCGATCGGTCCAGGTAGTTGATACCCTTGATGAGCTGGTCCAGGAAGCTGGGGTTGGAGGGGCCTGGAGGACGGTTGGTACAGAGCAGGTAGTGGGGGCTATTGCTCTGATCAGTGGGCTTTCTGACCACCTTCGGTCCTCTCTCCAGGTGGCTGCTCTCTGCAAACTTGGGGTTGTAGGACTGGCCCTTGCAGGGGAAGGTGGGATTCAAGGGCTGTTCGGAGTGGCCGTTGCAGGCGCTGAAGTCCAAGCCGTTGCAGGTACGCGTGCATGGGGCCCTGCTAACTCCGTTTAAGCTGTGGCCCTGGGTCCAGCCTGGAGCTCGAGGTGGGAAGGATGTGTAGTTAGGATGGCCCGTGTGGCTGTAGGTGTTAGAATGGCTCACCTGGCGTCGCGACATGCTCCCAGCACTGCTGATGACACTGATGGCTGAGCTATGGCAATGTCTGGAGGTTGGTGGTTACCTGGCCTGGAAAGGAAGGAGCCTGGTTAACTCGCCAGCCCCCTCTGGGCTTTTCCTCCAGGGTCCGCTCTGCTCCGAGAGGTCCAGAACTACCCTGTTTCTTCACCTACTATTCCTCCCAGGCCTGGGGGATCTCCAGCCGCAAACTGGACACCCTCCTCTGCAGAGAGCACAAGAGATGGGAAAGAAGTCAAGACTCCCAGGAACACTGAGCCCAAAGGACCATCTAGGAAAGGGAGACAGTCTTGCTATGTCGTCCAGGCTGGTCTTGAACTGTAGCCCAGACTGGCCTCAAACTCACAGCAATCCTCCTGCCTCAGCTTCCCAAGTACTGGGATTACAGGCATGTGCCACCACACCCTTCTCATCTTCTCCTCTCCTCCCTCCACTCCTCTCCCTCTCCTTCCCTCTCCCTCCCTTTCCCATTTCCTCCTTCCCCTCCTCCCCTCCTCTCCTCCTCCCTTCCCCTTCCCCCCTTCTCTTTTCTTTTCTTTTCTCTTCCAGTACTGGGGATTGAACCCCAGACCTTGCCTTGCCCGTGTCTGCTTTTGTTTTTACTTCTAGCTTACATTCTGAAATTCCCAATCATGTTTGATGAAAGGACTCGAGGAAACCACAAGATTCGAATCTCTAATGGAGAAATTCCACGCAGAGACAGACTTTCGGTGCTATGGAGCAGCTAGCTAACCAGCTGTGCCATGTACCCCAGTACTGAGAATGTATCTTGGCCTCCAACGGGACACCACACTCCTGCTTGCTGTGTGCTCAGCCCTTCACCTTAGACCTAAGGTGTGTGAGTCAACTCATTTAACTCCTACCACGGGTCAAAGAGGTAGTGAGATTGTATCCCCAGGGGACAGATGGAAGAAACTGGTACTGAGAGAAATGATGTTCCTGCCCTCTGACCACACAGCCAGGGTGACAGCTCGGGAGTGTCAGTGCTGTAATGGCAGTGTGACTGTGGCTTCCTCCTCCACACTTCTAAGAGTGAATTCACCACACCTGTCCTGCCTGCCTAGATGAGAACACAGGTGGAGAGAAGCCCGGTGGAGAAGGGTTCTAGCTAATCCCCGAATTGTTGATCCTGACTTCAGGGATTCCATTTGAGGGTGGGGGCATAGGGCACTGAGCCTACACTTGGAGCTGAATTTGTGAGCTCAGAACCTGCCAAGCTGTGCGCTTTGATCCTCTTGGGTGGTGCCTGACTCCCTTAAGCACTCTACCAGAAGAGGGGAGCAGGCTTTCTGCTCTTCCTGGGCCCAGAGTGGGGACTTCAAGGAAAATAAGACCTGGCCAAGCCAGAGATTTTCCGCCGGTGGGGTCCACCCCCTCTTCCTGGCCTGCCTGGGCCCAGGCAAGGGCAGTGTCATCCCATTGTCCCTTGCTTCCCTGATATTAACCCCACCCCCTCTCCAGCTGGAACAAGGCTGTGATTTCCCCCCTACCACACCAGAGCAGGCTCCTGGCCATGCCTGCCTTATGCTAACAGAGGAGTATTTGAGCCCACCCCTCCCAGGAAACAGCTGCCTGCCCCTCTCCCAGCCCATGACCCTCTCTCAGCTGCCCTTGTCCTTTGGGTCTGAAATGGGCAGAATATCCAGACCCTGGCCTCTTCCTTTCCTGGATCAACTCTCCCACCCCCAACCCTGAAATATCAGAGGTGACTGGGGGCTGGCGCCAGAGACCCCACCCTTCCCGTTCCGGTGGACCCAACCCCATGTTCCCTAAGGGCCTGCTGTCTCACTGTGTCTCTTCAGAGGCAGATGACATAGACCTCCTCTGGCTCTCCACTGGGGATTCCTGCATGCTGCTACTCCAGACTGCTGGCCATGTCATAGAATCATGGAATCCTAGAGCTGGGAGGGGCCGCCAGGGGTCATCGCAGCCAGGCCCCTGCCCTGGAGCCAGAGCCACTTTAAGCCTGCCAGGACAGATGGGCCCTATTTTTGAAACGAGGCTGGGTGGCTGTTTTCCAGTGTTCCTTGTTGTTTTTCTTGTGTTCTGTTTGCTGTGAGCCAGGAAGTTTTATGCTAGCGCAGTGAACTCCTGTTCACTGTGGTCAGCATGAATTTCTCTCTTTTTTTTTTAACTTTAGGTCACCAAACATTTATCAAATCTCCTTCAAGCCGTATCCCTTTGGGTGACCCATTCTTGGACATGACAGCAACTTCATTCCTCTCTTCTTGCCTCTTCTGGTGCAGCCAACAATCCCACGTTGAGCACCTACTCTGTGTGGGACTCTGCTAAGAGCCTGAGAGTCTCAAGGGCACAAACCTTCATGTTCCTTTTGGAACTGCAAGCCCCTCACTGGGGCCTGGTCCACAGGGGCCACGGAAGACATGTGTGTTGAACAAATGCCCAGAATTCTCTTGCAAGGTCTCATCACATTTCCCAGAAAATCTTCTCTCCACCATATTCTTCCCTCAACATTGAAAATACAGTTTGGGGCAGTAGTGGGGAACTTCCCTAGTGTGCGTGAGGCCCTGGGTTCAATCCCCAGCATTGCAAAGCAAATGAATGACCCCAAACAATTCAGTATTTTCACAAATTCTCAAATTTCTTGAAAATTTATGAACTCTTGAATGCGCTTTTTCACTCAAATCCATTAATTATCAATATTTTTTACCACATTTATCACTCTACCCCCACACACATTTATTTTATTTTCTTATTTATTTTTAATGTGTTTGGTACAGGGTCTCATTATACAGCTTGTAGCGATCCTCTTGTTTTCAGCCTCCCCAGCACTGGGATTATAGGCCTGCACCACCATGCCCAGTCTTCGTGGCCAGCTCAGCATGTGGTGCTGGAGATTAAACCCCGGTCCCTGTACTTGCCTAAGCAGGTACTTAGTCTGTTGAGCTATTTCACTGACCCAGTACTTTTTATTTTCTGAGTAAGCTTGCCAATCGCAGTGTCTCTTACCGAGGGTGACTTCAGTGTACAACTCTTACTCACTGGAAGAACAAGAACATTTTATAACACAGGCATGTTATCATGATCATGATCAAACCCAGGATATTAAATACTGGTTCAATACTGTAGTCCAACGGATGGTCCATATTCGAGTGTCACTAGTGGCCCCTCAGAGGTACTTGATAGCAACTGTTTTTCCAGTACAGGACTGAGCTCAAGGTGGAGTACTGCGTTTAGTTTTCATGTCTCCTTAGTCCCCAAACTTCTGGAAGTTTCTCAGCCTTGCTTGTCATTAATGATACTGATTGCCATGAAGAGTTGTTTTAGAGACTGTTCTCCAGCTCGGGTTTATCTGATGTTTCCTGATGACCAGATCCAGGATTTCTAAACACTTTGGCCCAGGATCTTCTGCTCCATACACAGCCAAAGAGCCTAAAGGGCCTTTGCCCCAGAGTAGGGGAGCAATGGTGGCTGAGACAAGGAGTGGGTAGGAGGAACCTGAGGGCTCCCCCAGAAATAGTGAAGTAGTATGGGGTGGGGGCTGACTGAACAAGGGGAATGATTCCTTTTTGGGGTCTGAGCCAGGGCTTGGGTTGGCTCTGGGCTCAGGGCTGGGCAGGCAGGCACATAGCCAGGTAGAAGACGGGGCTACTGGGCTGTTTGTCCTGATGGTACCCAGGCATAGAGATCACCAGCCATTTCTGGCCTGGGCACTAAGAGCCCGCTGGAAATAGCCCTAGGACAATTATTTCGGGAGGAATGTGCTATTTCTCCATCTTCCCAGACAGCTAGGCTGTGTCCCAGTAAGATTAGGAAAGTCCCTTTCTGGCCTCTGTGCTACAGGGGACCCTCCAGGCCTGTTGAGGCCATGGAGGCCATCAGAGGGGCTAGGACCCGAGGGCCGGGAGACCAGAAGCTCCCTTTCCTGCGGTGTGGATGTCTTGTTCTTAGATCTTGACTTCAGGCTGGACCACTTGAGATTCAGCTGACTTGCAAGCTGGGGGACACATAGGGAGAAAATGAAGAAGCTGTCTGACCACTTGTGCCAGAGCTCATCGTCCCCGGAAGGAGCATCTCCCTTGTCCTCTAGAGCCCGACATTGTTGGTACCAGGCCCTTCATATCCACCCTTTCACTAATCCTCCCAGCGACCGTAAGAGCTAGGTGTTTCATTTCCAGACGAGGTCATAAGAGGCTCAGAGAGGGTGAGAGACCTAAAACTGGCCCAGCAACCCAGAAGAAGAACCCCACCTTCTAGTTCCAGAGACTACTGCCTTGAACATGAATTTAGGGAGGAAGTGGGCCCTCCCCTCAGTTGATGCAAACTGAGAAAGGAGCCCTGTGAACTGAGTGGGATTGGCAAGGGAGACACGAGATGATGGAAGGTCCTGGGAAGATGGAACACCCACGCTGCAGTCTGCAGCCGTAGCCCCACCCGCTGGCCCACCTGGAGCACTTCAACCTTGGCTTCTTAGCTCCACTGCCAAAACAGCTACCAGCAGTGGGCTTTCCACCATCCCTGGCCTTTCCCACTTTCCCTTCTCACTGGGCTCCCCTAGCCCACTCTGCCAACACCTTCCACCCCTTCTGAACCTCATCAAGACCACCAAGGGCCCTTTCCTGGCCCCAGCGCAAAGAGCTGAAAGCCATCTGACTCCTCCCAGCTCCCCTGAGATTTTAGGGTGTTGTCCCTGCATTGGGGCCTGAGATGAGGGGAGGAAGGTCCCTTGGCTCCTTCAGCCTCATGGTTGTTGGAAGCACCAGGTAGAAGCAGAGCCTAGTTCACCAGCCAGGTCTGTCCAGGGGACAGCTAGAATCAAGAGCTACATAAATGTAGGTGCTCCCATTTGGAGTAAAGGGCATCTGTGCCTACTCTTGGGTGACTGTTGGCAGTGTGACTCACCTGAACCCCTACCTGGCACTCAGCCAGCCTGCCTGCAGGGCTGAAAATCTCCCACTCACCACGACCCTGACCTTCTCCCACCTGTAGTTTTCTACTCACCAGAGCGTAATGAGTCACCTGCCTCCCCCAACACCTTCAAGGGTGAAGGCCCTCTGCTCACCTGCTGCCAAAACTGGCTTTTCAAAGCCCTCATGTGGCAAAGACAAGCTGGGACAGATCTGAGCTTGGGATACTGGGACAGGTGAGGTTTGGCAGGGCTTTTGAGGTAGAACAACCAATTCAGGAGGAAACAGGGCCCCCATCTGCCAGGAGCCTGGAAATCCCCGTGAAAGGAGCACAGGAAGACAGCCAAAGGTAGGTTTATATGCAGCCTTGTGAGAGAAGATAGCACTCGGAGCAGACAAGACAGTGAGTTGGCCACCTTGTGCTGTGGCCTGACCAGGTAGCGGGGCTCCAGACCTCCATCTTCGGTTCTGTGAAATGGAGGCTAAAAGGACGCTCGGTAGGCACTGTTGACAATTTGTCATCACACATCACAGTCGGTACTTCGCAAGCCTCCACGTCCAGGCTTTGTCCTGAGTGCCAGCTGCCGCGGTGATGTCTTAGAGCAGCTAGAGCCTCGGGCTGTTCAGCTTTCTGCAGTGATTGAACGATTGGTAGTTTGACTTCAGCCAAGGCGGGAGTATTTCTGTGCTAGGAACTAGCAAAACAAAACTTCTTTTGTTTTGTTTGAGACCTGGTTTACCAGCACATCCTGGGAGCTTCAGGACCCTGGCCAAATGTTCACCTCATGAACCTGTTTCCAGAAAACCATAGCGATAACAGTAGTCTAGATACACCAGATGCAAGCCCTGTCCCAGCGCTGCGCTTGGTCTTAGCTTTCCATTCATTGATCCCTCCTCACAGCTGCCTGAGCTAGAGGTAACTGCATCTCCATTTCCAGATGAGAAACTGTGGAGGGCAGAGACAGGGTAACTCACACAGAGGAACATAGCCCAGCACAGGGCACTCAGTGTGGCCCCGCTCTGCCCTTCACCTCTGCACCCTGTGGCCCCAAGAACAGAATCACGCATGCCTTTCCTGAAGCATTTGCTGAGTGGAGATTATGTGCTAAAGTTTTGGCATCCACAGAGGCACCCTCAACACCCCCTGCCTCCTGGGGTCAGCCTTTCCTTTCATAGTCACATAAAACACAACTCCAGTCTCTGTCCTGAGCCTTCCCTGGCATTTCTGAGGAGACCCAGGGGCTCTTGGGGCTTCTGTTCCCCTTTACCCTGTCCTCCCACTTCCAGGGCACTTTTCCATCCTTTTTTCTACCTTCCCCAAGAGAGGGTGTCCTAGGCTGTTCTTGAACTCACTATGCAGCCCAGGCTGGCCTGGAACATTCCACGATGCTCCTGCCTCAACTCCTCAGTGCTGGGAATACAGGCGTGCACCACCACTCCAAGCCTTCTCCTGCCGTCTCGCTGCCCCACTCTTGGTGAGTGTCCTCTTCTCAGCAGAGCTTCACCCCAGTGCCCACTGCTCCCCCCATCCATGCAGCAAGCCATCACGGACATAGTGACACTGAAGACGGGACGGCAACACAGCACAGGACAAAGGACAACTTGGTGCTTTGTGTCTCGAGGCCTCCTTTCTCCTCAGTGAAGGGCACCCAGCCCCTTCTTGTCCTCTTCCCTCATTCTGGGCTCCCAAGCCCTGCAGGTCTCCCCTCCCCAGGCTGCTGCTGAGCTGAAAAGCTGGCCCACCTCTGGGTGTAGGCAGAAGCCAAACTTTCAGTTTTGCACCCATGTGGGCTGTTACCCTGACCCCCGTGGCTAATAGGCTCACAATAAATACTTAAATAACAGTGGCTGGGGCCGGGGAGATGGCTCAGTAGAATAAGTGCTTCCCTGGCTAGCGCAAGGGCCTGAGTTCAATCCCCGGTTCCGGGAATAAAAAAAA